GCGCGACAGAAACCTCAAGCTCATAAGCTTATAGGGCTGCAATGGGTGCAAAGAGGTATCAGAATGTTATCATGCAATGCAAGCACCATAGTCTGAAGATAAAGAAAACTTGATAATGATAGTAATGAAAGAAGCAGTGGTGGCTTGTTAGCAGTACCTGTTTGGTGTTATGTTTCGATTCTTCTGACAAGTTGTTGTAGGTATAATGTGCTTGAGAAATTCCACAGAAGAGCACTGCAACAATCCCTACACAGAACAGCAAAAACAATATTAACATAGAAAATAACCACTAGCTCAAAAATGTAAAAAATATTGGGTTTAGAAAGTACCTGTTAAGTTAGCAGCCTCTGCCATAAGAAATGTGGTCCATGACAGCAAAAAGAACAAAGCAGTCTCAAGGAGAGGGAAGTCTGAGATTTTAGTGAGTTTTGTCACCTGTGATAGGTTTGGTGTAAGGCATTATAACTTACATTTTGCTGACAAATTCACACTACTCTGTATGTAGAATAATTTAATTATTGAGACACAAATACATACACACAAAGTGTGCTAATATAAAGTAAGGACGTGCCTCTGGTTGCTTATTTTGCAAACCATTTTTCCTACAAACACTGAACACACACTGTTCAATGCCAACATCATGTAACAGTTATATCCTGGATAAATAGTTGACCTCACTACATGTAGTTTTTATTTTTCATGCTTGAAATACGTGTATACCAGAAGTGACACTTTCATCATGTAAGCACCCAACTGATGAGCCTCAATAGAGTATGCCATTAACTTTTGTATATAATTTATAATGTGTAGTTCCAGAAAATATCCATACCTACCCCATGGAAGGGAATTTTTCTAAGTCCCCCCCACCCCTCTAGAAATTCCGATTGAGCTTCATACATTTCTTTAAATTTTTTGGTCTTACAGAACCCCCACCCCCAGGAAATTCCAATCCCTTCTGTGGGCGGAGTATGGATATTTTCTGGAACTGAGCAATACAATGTTGTTGAGTTAAGTCATATTTCAATTTAATAACTACTACTGTATATTTCATCAGCCTAACCAAAAACAGCTCCCCTTTTATACTGTGTAACAGAAGAAAAGAAAACACGTCAAATTTGAATACTTGCCTCTTAAGAAATCAGCAATATTTAGTTATTTTCTTAACAACTACAGTATTTAAAAGGATACAAGAGCTGTTACAAGACCCATCACGAAACCAAGAAAGAAAGAGCCTGAGAAAACACCGATGAAAACACCCACAGATTCAAAAAAGCGATCAGCTTGAAAACCACTTCCTGTGTTATCAAGGAGGTATGTCTCCACCGACCTAAAAAAGAAATCAATTTGTAATCAACATGTATACGTACATAATTATGTCATCAATAACTATTTTTAAGCAATTACAACATCAGTCTCTGCCAACTCTTCCGGATTATCCAGGAGTCTCCCGAACACAGACCAAATCTCCCAGTCTCCCGTACAGGTCACCACATCTTCAAGACAATACGAATAAAAGTGCATAAAATACATTTTTCAGACATATTTTGGTGAGATTTAGGCATTTTGGGGAAAACATTTTGGATATTAATTTTGATGCATTTTTTTGAGATTTAATTGGCAAATCTCTACTTGGAGCAACTTTTTTAGGGTCAAAAAAAGGTAAAATTGGTGCCCTACCAGATTTTGATTTTTTTGGTTTGGCATCTCTGTTACTATTTAATTAATAATTCCAAATAAAAAATCAAAATATTAGATTCATACTCCTACAGAACATTAACTAATCTTTGCTTTCTTTACATTACATGTACTTCTTTTTGGCAAATTAGGGAGATAATGGCAACTATGGCAACTAGTCCATTTTGTACTGTACAAACACGTTAGTATAAATTCTTAAGCACAAGGTACACTGTAATCACACGTGTACAAAACGTTTGTGTGAGTTATATAGTCATGACATATATTTTGCTGACAATTAGAATATCTATAACGACATTATATACATTCTCATCCCCCAGAGGCCACACTCCTTTTGGTCAGCACCAAGGATTGCAACCTCCCGGCTGGTCCAACACCGAAAGTCCACGATTCATGGACTTTTCGTCAAATCTGGCAAATCTGATTGGCTGAGAATACTAAAGGAAAACTCTGCCCATGCTCACAAAATCGGGTTCGGTCAGAGGTCATGATTCTTGGTGCTGACCAAAAGGAGCATGGCCACTGGGGACGAGAATGCAATATACACTGTATAGCAAGAGTTACATTGGCCAATGGTTAGTGCGCTACAATGCAGATCTTGAGCCCTGGGCAGGATCATTGTGTTCTTGGGCAAGATACTTGTCTTTACTCTCAAAGTACCTCTCTGATAAACCCTGGCATGTGTAAATGGATACTGGAAAATTTAACCCCAGGGAAAACCTTCTGATGGACATCCAGGGGCCCATTTCTCCAAAGCCCTGGAAACTTTTCGGGCCCGCAAAGCTATTTTTAGTTCATCTGCATCTAAAAGCAGAAAGGTGTATATGCCTGAAACGTCTTGTATGAAGGGAACCTCTGTTCAAATTAAGGATATGTGAACAAAACAGCTCTGTAATCATAAGGTTCGAGATTTTGCTATCAATAGCTTTCAGTACAAAAAGTTTTTGGGACCTTCAAGAGACAGGCACCAGGGGACAACAATACTGGACAACGTTGTATATTGTGTATCTTACCTAAACAGAACAATAGCAACAGCATCATTCATTACACTTTCACCAAACACCAGGGCATACAGATCAACATCCACATGCAGATCATGGAAAATAGCCAGCACTGTGACTGTAAAAGAGAAACAAAATGAAACAATCACACTTGTCAGTATAGTTTAAATGTACACATGACACCTCACTGTAAATGCTAAAAACTTACCTGGGTCTGTTGCTGATATTAAAGCTCCAAATAACAGGCATTCCAGAAAATTAAAATCCTTGTCTGTTGGAGCAAACTTGGTGTAGGCATACATTGTTGCCCTACAGTATTAAGACAAAAATGATTTTAATGGTTGACCTAAACATGAACAGTGCAAGCACCTTGTTAATATGCTGTACATATATCTAATATATATACTGTACACACAAAATCTACTGTATGAGCACTGTATGAACACTGAAGGGACAGCCTATCAATAGGCAACAAAAGTAGTAACACCGTTTGCTAAATTGAACTTGTTAATTGCAATATTTTAAATTTACATTTATTTCATTCTGTTTACACCGAGAACCCCTTCCCCTCCCCTTCCCCTTTTCAATGTTGTAAAGGAGAGGCAAGTCTTAGCGACAGAGAAATCCAACATTGCTTTGGGGGGGAGGAGGAGGAGGTAATATCGTAGAGGTGAGGGGCAAAATTTGTCTAAAGTACTCTAAAAATAGCAAAATGTCTCAATGCTTGTGTTGCCCAATGTAAAGTGCACACCACGGTATCCCATCATGGACACTAAGCATACATTGGTGTCTGAAATAATATTTAAAGAAGTACAGATTATGTTTTGTTGTCTCTTGCAAGTTATACTGTACTAAAGCATTCTGCAGTTTAGCTGTATGTCAGCCAATGCATTGTTAATGTGATGGCCAATGCGATGGTGGTGTGTTGGCTGATGCATCATTGGCAAATTGTCAGCCAACACATCAGTAGTAAGTTGGTGGCATGTCAGTGCGTCAGCAGATGCTTTGGTAGGATCAGAACCTTTACCTTTAACAAAGTTCCATATCAAACGGGTTCCTTCCCTTACTACAATTATATGGTCTTCCATTTTTAAAGAAAATATCGTTGTCATCATGGGAATTTTGCCGGGTTTCATTTGCTTTTTCTCTAGTTTACAAAGAGCAAAGAGTAGTTTGTGTTTCGTACATTATCTGGGTGCCAGTATGCAGAGGTAAGGTTACTTGCAGAGGTATGTTACAGGTGTACTTGACTGTGTAAAGTTCAATGGTACGAAGTACAGAACAAAACACATTGAGAAGCAACTCACCCAAACACCATACAAGACACAGTGGTTCCAACAAATGCATATGTTAGAATGGCACCAATGTTCCTGAAGAAAAATCGCTGAAAGATTTCAAATACATGTACACAGATTAAATCCAAACAATAATAATCATTGTGAAACGTATTATTAATTATTAATAAAAAATGCATTTCACATTGTGCCATGATGTTTCACTTTGTTGATCATTTAAAGGTGTGATCTGGGGGGTTTTAACTGAGCAACTTGAGGTCAGCCTAGTTTATGATTCACTTGGCTACATTATGATTCACATTTTGGGTTACATGTATGTTAATAATAATTAAGTTTGTCTGTGCTTTGTAGTTAAACACATTCTACATAATGACTCTAACAAAGAAGTAAGAAGGCAATTAACATGAAAATTGCACAAGTTTGAGTAGAGGTGTTGGAAATCTTATAACACAACTCATGAGGTGAGGGATTCATGTAACCCTCAACTGTTTGCAATGTATAAATTTCTTCTCTCAGTCGGGTTGATACTTGAGTTGTTGAAAAAAGAAGTACATTTACTGCAGTTTAAATATTAAAAATCAAAGCAAGTTATGTTTTAAGTGTCTTCTTGTTGGATGTAGTACACTATATATATATGTAGAGGATATATCACTTTTTACAGGGTTTCAGGTATTTGTGTTAATTATATAACTAATAAATTTTAAAGTAGAAAATACACAGTCTTCTGAGACAACATTGTCTTGCATCTAATGATGATAGCAATTTAAACTAGTTCTGAAGTATGTGAATGATCTCTGAACTATCATTTCACATTTAACCTTCGGGCTGCAGCTTTGTATTTCTTTAATTATAACCCGTTCATTATAATATTGAAATCATCACCTTTTTCATGTCATATCCAGCATAGAAGATAATTGGAGGTAAAAGAACATAGAAAAATATCTCAGGGTCAAACACAGCCTGCAATAACACAAACAATAGTGTATTAGCCATAATAGAAACTCAGTTTGTCATGTCTAAAAAATGTCTACATGTACGTAGTTTACACATGCACACAGTTCAAAAAAAAAAAATGTGCCCCTAATTGCAGGGATAAGAGATTTGAGGTGTAGGAGGGGCGTATGGTTCAATCCTCCTTTTTGTCCAGTACCCTAGTTGCACATTTGTGGGTGAAAATTGAAATTTTTTTCTTTAGCAAGAGTGAGTACAAATAAAGATTTGATAATGGGTCACTGAGTATGGGATATTTTAAAGAAATATCAGTAAGTTGCAAAAATCAGGGGTATTTGTACATGTATATTAATTTAGCAGCTTGGATGAGTTGCCTCTTGTAGTCACTTGTGGGACCATTACAAAGGAAAATACAGTGAAACCTGTGTTAGGCAGACACCCTCAGAACCCTTGCTAGTGCCGCTTAATACAGGGTGTCCACTGATAACAAGCTCCCTCAGAATTTTTTTTAAAAGGGTCATCTCAACATTGCAGGTCAGTATTAAGAGACCTTGAAAGAGACAAATAGCATTCTCATGAACAATCAATAACTCTGAAATAATGTATTTCCATAAACAATGACAACTACATGAGGTAAAGCGATTTAAGTATACATTAACAGTATCTATATTGATCCAATCATGCGAAGGTTCACAAAATCAAACAAGAACAATAGCTCTGTAAAAACAGAACCAAATAACAAAATATTGCATTTCTGTGACAGCTCAGTTTGTTGGCAAAGTTAAATGACCGATCTACTAATACGTGGACAAAAAAAATCATGCATTCTTTTTGTAGTGTCCGTTTGATACAGGTTTCTAACAATAGAAATGATCATAAAGTCAAGTTTAAGGTGTCCGCGNTTTTTTTTTTTTTTTTTTTTGCAGTGTCCATTTGATACAGGTTTCTAACAATAGAAATGACCATAAAAGTCAAGTTTAAGGTGTCCACATCCGCTAAATAGAGGTGTCTGTTGAATACAGGTATTTTTTACGGTGAGTGTGGAAAAAGACAAATGGGACTTGCACTGCTGTCCGCATAGAGGGTGTCCACTGTAATTTAATAAATGACTTTTCATCATTTGTTTTCCTCTCATAAATTGGTCCCACAACTGACAGCATGATGAGACTTGCACAGATTTCTTTTTCTAAAGTTTTATCAGCTAGAGTAATATGTACCTTCTGTTCCAGTTCACTTTCCTGATCATCGTTAGCTTTCAGCACTTCTCCAGTGAACGAATATGAGTAGTTGTGTCCATTCATGACACTAATATATAACTTCTTAGTAGCACTGGTGATGGTGCAGTTGGGTTTAGAGATAGAAAGCCGGTTTTCTCCACCAATATATTTTATGAGAAAACCAATTATCATACCTTGGAAAATTAAAAGCAGAAAAAACCAATTGTCAAAAATTAATTCACACAACAACAATTTTTTTATTGAAATTATGATGCAGATCACATTACTAACAAGCAGAGGGAAAAAAACAGCATACATGTTCATGCACATACATGTAGCTTTTCTTAATAATCATTGTCTAATTAATATAAAAAAATTATTTTTGAAAAGTTGTTGCATGGCATATTTACAATGTAGCTCTTGCAAGAAACAAAGGACAAAGGACACTGCAATCTAAAAATGTTGATGGTACTGTACTTTTACAGCAGGGTTCTAAAAGAGATCCCCTGATTTGTTTAATAATTATTATACTGTAAGTATAGATAATCAAATGGGGATAAGTGATTTCATGCACATTTTGTCAAAATTCTTATAATTTCCTGAGCCTTTAGGTGGGGGAAATTATTGGAATTTGGAAAAAACGCAAGTGAAATTATTTTCTAATTTCACAAGTATACCATTTGATTACCTTTGAATATCATGGGTGACAAATTACGCTTCCAATCATGGGCTTTTGACTTCTGGGCCAAATGTTGCCATGGCGATTTTGTAATTTCACACCTGAAACTATGAATAAATGGTGAAATTTCTGGCCAAACTTAAGGAGTAATTTGTCTGCCATGATATTATAATTTAATAATCACTAGGCATGGTGACGGTTCATCACAATAATGGTTTTCAGGACTGCCCTAACATGAAAACGTTTCATGTATGAACAGGCTGGCAGCTCTAAACATATAACACCAGTATTGAGTGTTTTTATTTTTATTTTGTCCGTTTGTTTGTTTTTCGATTTTGCGTGATCATTCGTTCATGTTGTCATGTCTATGTTTGCCACTCGTGTGAGACCCAAGTTGCAGGTGAATGATTCAAACCGATCCATAAAACAGCAAACTAAACATTCCAAAAACAAAATGCACCATGAAAAATGATCAATTTGAATCACGAGTTAACTTTTCTTTTCATTTTCTAGAAGTCAGGCAAAATTGGAGGCCTTAAATAACATCAAATGCAATGAACTGGAACTGCATTGCTAAAGTTTTGACAAATTCCAGGCGGGCCACGTGACCTCTCAACAAATTCAATCAAGCACTTTGCAATACGAGACAAATATTCACCGGAACACTACTGGAGCGACCAACTTACCATATATCATGCAGACACCTGTTTCGTGTAGAAAACGGAAGCGTTTGACTTTAAACAACCACACAGTCAGGACCGTAATAATCAACAAAAACATCATAACTAGCAGAAACGCCGTGTCGATCGCGCTGTATTTCTTTTCTTTCTCGGCAGCCGCCTTCTCACTAGCTCTATCGGCATCTTGAATTTTTGTTTCCGCTATTACCAAAGGCAAAACAAGAAGAAAACAAAAGCTCACGAACAGCCTCCCATCAGCGGCCATTTTGATGCAGAGCGCCCGGTGACAGGACTCGATTCAGTCTCCCTGGGTCAATCTGAGTCCCAGGCCTTGCACCTAGGATCTGCCTCAGCGGGGAGCTGTAACTAGAAAATGAAAAAAATTGCTCGAAATGTAAGAAGTTGCCAAATATTGCCGAGCAACTTGTGGAATTATAGCCCTAGTTTCTGTATTATATTTTGCAGGCAGAATTATTTGAATTCAGGTGTCAATGGGACCACAACTAATGAAGTGTCCGTAATATACGAAGGGGTCTAGGAGCGAGGTGTTCGTATGGAGAGCGGATTTTGGTAACTGACAAGTTAGCGTGAGATATTGTCAGTACATAATTCTCGTGGTTTGACAGGCGGACCATGCCGACCATAACATAATTCTCTTTCATTTGCAATATATTTGTTTTCTTATTTAATAGCAACACCCTTACTACGCACGGCAATACTAAGTAAAATGACGCTTAATTAAAGTATTTTCATTTTATTTCAGAACACTCAAAAACGCGTAATTACGCTAACCCGTCGCTTGTACCTTCAGCATTCTGTACCTTCAGCACTGATTTAGAACAGAGACGTCTTCGATTTTGTTAAGAGGGGTGGCGGCGGTCGGTCACCCCAAAACGCAGACCGTGCAGACTGAGTACTTTTTTTCTTATTCTTGTTTTCTCATTTACTTTTAACGCGCAGTATTTTTGGTTCCAGTTACAAATCAGTGTTCAGTTATATATCGGAGTGTTTGTTATTTATCCACAGGCAGCGCGAGCTAGGAGTACAAAATATACGTATGTAAAGTAGGACCCATATATCCCTGGTGTCCTTATAGCCTAGGATTAATTTTTTCTAATAAAATTGCCTAAGAGCACTCATAGATTTTATATCTATATAGTAATGAGTTCAGTCATATCTGGAGAGGAATTGATAAATTGACTCCATGATGCAATTTTTTGTAAAGGATTAATTCCCCTTGATTCACGGACTCAAGATTGCTAAAATTACTGCTTTAGGTGAATCCAGGACACATCAGTTTTGCGCTCCTTTTGGGATAAACATGGATCTAAACAGGTACTGAGCACAGAAAATGGCATTGTGAAACTTTGTACTCGATTTGTATAGAAAAGCAATATTTAAACCCTTGAAACCCTCTATGGTATGTGAGGTCCTAAGACTGGTTCTGGTTCTCTTAATATTCTTAATATTCTACGAAATTTATGACAGACATTTTGCGCAAGTTGAGTAGAAGATTTTAATTTAAATAGTATAAATTTCTACAAGCATTTTTGTCCTCCAAGTATCCTAGAAAATTTTGTTTTTACAGGTTTAGGATTAAAACTCCTTTGGTACAAGTAGACAAATATGAAAGGAGATATATTTTAGTTTAAACAAATATCGAAAGCTTTTGTATAAATTAAACTATCAAAAATTTAGGATACTCAAAATTCTGTAGAATATTTACGAAAGGATACTAAGGGATAAAAATGATTTTAAAAAAGCAAACGTAATTATTTTTCACGACTGCCCCAGGTTTCCCTTTCTAAAACACAATATATTTACATTTTCAACCTCATTTGATATTACTCCACTTTAAAATAATTAGTTGCATGGAACCTATTAACTCATTCTTTGCTGGTCTGTTTGGTTACTCAAATACGAAAAGCAGAAAAGAAAAACATATATCAGAAACAACAAAGTTGACAGACAACTGAAAAGTTTCGAAATGTTAGTTAAATTGCTGAAAAATTGCATCTTATTTGATAGATGCTTCCCCCAATTGTTCATTTTAAATACAGTATAAATATGTACATTATTACACATGCTAGAAGTCCAAAACTATAAAATTACTTCTACATATTTTACTCAGTTTGTTGCCATGCAAAAACTATGAAAATGTCATCTAGAAATAAAACGTTATTCTATATAATTATTTGCTGACCAAAGACCGTTTACAGCTCAACTGAACGGAAGTTTTAGCGACCTTCACTTACTGGTCAGCGGTGACCAGCGGAAGCGAGAGTCCTTGGTAAAATATTAGATCCCAGTCTTTTTAAGTACTACACCGTTGTGTCTGACACAGTTCTTTTCCCGCGAGAAATCACCGTTTCCGACAAATAAAAATCTGTACAAAACAACAAGATCAAGGTTAATTCTAGCCAAATACCAAAAAAACAAAAAACTGACCTTTGTTCTTACAAAAGAAATATAACAGACTCGAAATACTAGAAACTACAATGATATTTTTTACACGTTATAAGTTATAACCTATATTTTCTATGCCCTAATGTAAAGACTGCAGCTAACCTTATCTATGACTCTAGTTCTGTGGTATCATAATATTTTGATAGGTTCCATTAATTATCATTTAATTTGAGCCGTGAATTAACGACTGCAATAGTGCAAAACGTCGAGGATGGTCAATTTAGTGCTCGGATTAACTTCGTCCGAAAATCTATATCAAAAATGTTCTAAGCATTATTTTAATAGTTATAAGTATATACAATGAGCCTGGTGAAATGACAGTTCACGCAGGCCTTCATGTACCAGTCACCAGTCGTCGACTTAACTTGACTTAAACATATCGCACAGCATTCGCTCAATAGGGACGTTGTCAAGAGCTCCGCGGAAAAACAAATCTTCGATCATCTTCGGACTGACTGATCGCAAAGACGGAAGCATTAGCAGCAGTTTACCGAATCGAACTTGTTGATCAGGACTGTGGCTGCGGCAGTATTCTCCCAGCATGGCTTGCGCTTGATCCTGAAGCCTCTCTACCATGTGAGGCGCTCTGAGGCCACGTAGGTCTGCAAGGAATTGTGGGGAAAATAATGAGTATAAGCTTCAATGTAAATAGTACGCGTTTCAACATACAGAGTTGCCAAACGAACTTCCAACTTGTCTGAAGCACACGTTTAATCAGATTAATTGGCACTTTTACGCATGACCTTTGATTTTATTACGCTATAGATCGAATACTCAACGTAACATGACTGGCCAAAAAATAATGAGTATAAAGAATTGACAGCTGTCAAACTGGACACAGTTTATAGTAGTAAAGTTTATCGTCGTCGCCCTCCTCGTTGTTGTTGTCGTTGTTTTTGTTGTTGTTGTTTTTGTTGTTGTTGTTTTTGTTATTGTTGTTGTTGTTGTTGTTGCTGTTGTTGTTGTCAGTAACACTACAATTTAAGGATGAAAAGTGTGCTTATAGTCGATAAGTGCAGTCATGAAAACAAAAAAACAAAAGAAATACCGCGATCTTAGACTAAATTGATGACACTTAGCCACTCTTCCAATGGCTAACTCTTATCTCCCCCCGGTCGCCCCCCTCCCTCCCCCACACCCCACTCCCAGACTGCAATGTGAAAAGCTTACCTGGTTTAAAGAGTACGATGGCTTTTAAACAGGCATATTCAGTAGAGTCAATCTGTACTCGCTTGAATCTTGCCACAACATTCTGCAAGAGACGAATATCCGCCATTCCTGCGACTATTTTATCAGTAGGAGCTTTGTCCACTTGCAGACCAGCTGCGGAGAGAAGAGGACCCATGTCCACTGGCAGAGAGAACTGGGCTGCGCTCAGAACAAACAGCTCACTCCAGCCCTCCTCCAACAAGATAGCCTGATCACGGAATGGAAGGTCCAGAAATGTTGGTATGTTCCTCGCCCAGGTGACCGACATGTACAGTAATTGCACGGCTGATTCATATACAGACTCCGGTGAGGGTTGATATACCATTGGCGTTCTGTCACTTGAGTCCTCTGTTGCTTGACTGGGACTGGAGTGAGCTTTACTTGGGGAAGGCTGGGCTGTGTTGTCTCTTGTTTCAATCATACTTGCTATCGACAGAAATCCGCGCTTTTTTGAGGAGTCTGGTGACTGGTTGTTATTCTGGCCGTGGTAGGGTGACTGGGGAGCTGGAGGAGAAAAGCGTGGAAGCTCGTTGGACCTGCTGTGATCAATGTCGGCTTCTGGGCTGCTTTGACTCTGTGGTCTATCCCCGGGATCGCTTTTGAGATAACTGAATTGTGGTTCTGGAATAGGGCGTGATGAAGGCTGCTCATAAGCGCTGCTAAGCACTGAACGCGCGGGAACCATTGGCACAACTTGCGAGGAGCGTGGTGCACGCTCGTGTTGAACGGCTGAAAAGAGAGAAAGCGTGTGAGAATTTGGCTGAGTACTGAAACGAATCCAACTGAATCTGAATTAGCCATTCAAATTTTTTTACTGCCATTCTTCAATTTATTTCAAATTTATGAAGCAATTTGAAATTCTAAAAATACTTGAACGGTTTCTATAGACCTTTAGGGTTTGTTTAGTTTTCGCGGTACATGTTGAGTAAAATGGACGCGACTTCCGACAGTGAGGGCACAAATTTTGTTGGCTTTTTTCCTAGTTTATTTTTTATTATCAATTTTTGGTCAAACTTAACTTTACACACTGAGAATACAATTAAACTCCATTGAAACGTTCTATTTTTTTTTTTTAATTTACAGTTTTCAAATTTTCGAAAACGAAAAGATCGCGTAAAATAAATGCTGTGCAATTTTGATCATAATTACTATTAAAAAAAATAATAACTCTGTCGAAGAGACTTTCAAAATTTGCCAGACAGGTTTTTTTAAAAAACGGTCATGAAGAGTTTTAATAAGTTTGGATAAAATTGTCGGCTGTATCTAGAACAGAGACTAACCAAAACGTAAATTAACATTCTTAAATGTTGCTCGGCAAAACAATCTGTAACAATGAGTAATAAAAACATTTTTTCGCTAGACATTTAAAGGTGATTGCGGTTCATGTGTCAGACCTCTTTTGGTCTAAGGATCAGTCTCATTCATCAGATAATAGTATGTTACACTACAGAGAAATCCGTGGCGAAGCTTAATTTTATTTCACATCACGTATTTGTTTAAGTGGAAAGTTCTGGAAAGGTTATTCATAAACTATGCAATGCATTGGGAAGTAATATTTTACATAATTTTGTGAAATTATGTAAAATAATAATTTCACATGGGCATGAAAAGCAAACGAAGATGAGCAAAAACAAACGCACGATTTTGGAGAGTCACGTTCTTGCATCTCCGACTTAAATTTTAAAGAACTGGAACATTTTCAACAAAGGATTATTTTCCTAAAGACAAAATTGTCACCATGAGTGCCAAAGGCTTCAAGGGAAAAATTATTCTATCCATTCTTGGACGGATATCGCAAAACAACAGTACACATGACGACCCGTCACTGGCAACAACACGAGGAAAATGTTGCAATGCATGAAATTGGAGACGTAACTATTGCAGGATTTAAAGAGTGTCAAGGCAGCTTTCCAGTGTGGAAGAATATCCTAACAGGTTATGAAGGATATTACATTATAATTCTATTTCGTAGCAACCTGGTGATATTCTATTTAAAAATGATTTTCAGAAACACCTGTCGATCGTAATTAGAAGATCGATATGTGCAATTTCTAGCTGTATTCAGCAGAAATTTGATCAGAAATGACTTGAATTGGTCGATAAATTGTAGTTTGAGCAAACTGAAGTTTAAACTTTTAGATGAAATTAAATTTTTAAGGTTTTGCAGAGGTGGAGAGGAAGTTTTAAAATTGATCTGGATACTTTCAACCATCTTCCTCAATTCTACGTGACCTGATATACCCCACGATCAGTATAACCACCAACTTGTAGATGACAGAAATTTGTGCCCACTCATAAAAATGTTTACTTTAAAACCGGTTGCGTCAAAACGTTTNCCCGTCGCTTGTACCTTCAGCATTCTGTACCTTCAGCACTGATTTAGAACAGAGACGTCTTCGATTTTGTTAAGAGGGGTGGCGGCGGTCGGTCACCCCAAAACGCAGACCGTGCAGACTGAGTACTTTTTTTCTTATTCTTGTTTTCTCATTTACTTTTAACGCGCAGTATTTTTGGTTCCAGTTACAAATCAGTGTTCAGTTATATATCGGAGTGTTTGTTATTTATCCACAGGCAGCGCGAGCTAGGAGTACAAAATATACGTATGTAAAGTAGGACCCATATATCCCTGGTGTCCTTATAGCCTAGGATTAATTTTTTCTAATAAAATTGCCTAAGAGCACTCATAGATTTTATATCTATATAGTAATGAGTTCAGTCATATCTGGAGAGGAATTGATAAATTGACTCCATGATGCAATTTTTTGTAAAGGATTAATTCCCCTTGATTCACGGACTCAAGATTGCTAAAATTACTGCTTTAGGTGAATCCAGGACACATCAGTTTTGCGCTCCTTTTGGGATAAACATGGATCTAAACAGGTACTGAGCACAGAAAATGGCATTGTGAAACTTTGTACTCGATTTGTATAGAAAAGCAATATTTAAACCCTTGAAACCCTCTATGGTATGTGAGGTCCTAAGACTGGTTCTGGTTCTCTTAATATTCTTAATATTCTACGAAATTTATGACAGACATTTTGCGCAAGTTGAGTAGAAGATTTTAATTTAAATAGTATAAATTTCTACAAGCATTTTTGTCCTCCAAGTATCCTAGAAAATTTTGTTTTTACAGGTTTAGGATTAAAACTCCTTTGGTACAAGTAGACAAATATGAAAGGAGATATATTTTAGTTTAAACAAATATCGAAAGCTTTTGTATAAATTAAACTATCAAAAATTTAGGATACTCAAAATTCTGTAGAATATTTACGAAAGGATACTAAGGGATAAAAATGATTTTAAAAAAGCAAACGTAATTATTTTTCACGACTGCCCCAGGTTTCCCTTTCTAAAACACAATATATTTACATTTTCAACCTCATTTGATATTACTCCACTTTAAAATAATTAGTTGCATGGAACCTATTAACTCATTCTTTGCTGGTCTGTTTGGTTACTCAAATACGAAAAGCAGAAAAGAAAAACATATATCAGAAACAACAAAGTTGACAGACAACTGAAAAGTTTCGAAATGTTAGTTAAATTGCTGAAAAATTGCATCTTATTTGATAGATGCTTCCCCCAATTGTTCATTTTAAATACAGTATAAATATGTACATTATTACACATGCTAGAAGTCCAAAACTATAAAATTACTTCTACATATTTTACTCAGTTTGTTGCCATGCAAAAACTATGAAAATGTCATCTAGAAATAAAACGTTATTCTATATAATTATTTGCTGACCAAAGACCGTTTACAGCTCAACTGAACGGAAGTTTTAGCGACCTTCACTTACTGGTCAGCGGTGACCAGCGGAAGCGAGAGTCCTTGGTAAAATATTAGATCCCAGTCTTTTTAAGTACTACACCGTTGTGTCTGACACAGTTCTTTTCCCGCGAGAAATCACCGTTTCCGACAAATAAAAATCTGTACAAAACAACAAGATCAAGGTTAATTCTAGCCAAATACCAAAAAAACAAAAAACTGACCTTTGTTCTTACAAAAGAAATATAACAGACTCGAAATACTAGAAACTACAATGATATTTTTTACACGTTATAAGTTATAACCTATATTTTCTATGCCCTAATGTAAAGACTGCAGCTAACCTTATCTATGACTCTAGTTCTGTGGTATCATAATATTTTGATAGGTTCCATTAATTATCATTTAATTTGAGCCGTGAATTAACGACTGCAATAGTGCAAAACGTCGAGGATGGTCAATTTAGTGCTCGGATTAACTTCGTCCGAAAATCTATATCAAAAATGTTCTAAGCATTATTTTAATAGTTATAAGTATATACAATGAGCCTGGTGAAATGACAGTTCACGCAGGCCTTCATGTACCAGTCACCAGTCGTCGACTTAACTTGACTTAAACATATCGCACAGCATTCGCTCAATAGGGACGTTGTCAAGAGCTCCGCGGAAAAACAAATCTTCGATCATCTTCGGACTGACTGATCGCAAAGACGGAAGCATTAGCAGCAGTTTACCGAATCGAACTTGTTGATCAGGACTGTGGCTGCGGCAGTATTCTCCCAGCATGGCTTGCGCTTGATCCTGAAGCCTCTCTACCATGTGAGGCGCTCTGAGGCCACGTAGGTCTGCAAGGAATTGTGGGGAAAATAATGAGTATAAGCTTCAATGTAAATAGTACGCGTTTCAACATACAGAGTTGCCAAACGAACTTCCAACTTGTCTGAAGCACACGTTTAATCAGATTAATTGGCACTTTTACGCATGACCTTTGATTTTATTACGCTATAGATCGAATACTCAACGTAACATGACTGGCCAAAAAATAATGAGTATAAAGAATTGACAGCTGTCAAACTGGACACAGTTTATAGTAGTAAAGTTTATCGTCGTCGCCCTCCTCGTTGTTGTTGTCGTTGTTTTTGTTGTTGTTGTTTTTGTTGTTGTTGTTTTTGTTATTGTTGTTGTTGTTGTTGTTGCTGTTGTTGTTGTCAGTAACACTACAATTTAAGGATGAAAAGTGTGCTTATAGTCGATAAGTGCAGTCATGAAAACAAAAAAACAAAAGAAATACCGCGATCTTAGACTAAATTGATGACACTTAGCCACTCTTCCAATGGCTAACTCTTATCTCCCCCCGGTCGCCCCCCTCCCTCCCCCACACCCCACTCCCAGACTGCAATGTGAAAAGCTTACCTGGTTTAAAGAGTACGATGGCTTTTAAACAGGCATATTCAGTAGAGTCAATCTGTACTCGCTTGAATCTTGCCACAACATTCTGCAAGAGACGAATATCCGCCATTCCTGCGACTATTTTATCAGTAGGAGCTTTGTCCACTTGCAGACCAGCTGCGGAGAGAAGAGGACCCATGTCCACTGGCAGAGAGAACTGGGCTGCGCTCAGAACAAACAGCTCACTCCAGCCCTCCTCCAACAAGATAGCCTGATCACGGAATGGAAGGTCCAGAAATGTTGGTATGTTCCTCGCCCAGGTGACCGACATGTACAGTAATTGCACGGCTGATTCATATACAGACTCCGGTGAGGGTTGATATACCATTGGCGTTCTGTCACTTGAGTCCTCTGTTGCTTGACTGGGACTGGAGTGAGCTTTACTTGGGGAAGGCTGGGCTGTGTTGTCTCTTGTTTCAATCATACTTGCTATCGACAGAAATCCGCGCTTTTTTGAGGAGTCTGGTGACTGGTTGTTATTCTGGCCGTGGTAGGGTGACTGGGGAGCTGGAGGAGAAAAGCGTGGAAGCTCGTTGGACCTGCTGTGATCAATGTCGGCTTCTGGGCTGCTTTGACTCTGTGGTCTATCCCCGGGATCGCTTTTGAGATAACTGAATTGTGGTTCTGGAATAGGGCGTGATGAAGGCTGCTCATAAGCGCTGCTAAGCACTGAACGCGCGGGAACCATTGGCACAACTTGCGAGGAGCGTGGTGCACGCTCGTGTTGAACGGCTGAAAAGAGAGAAAGCGTGTGAGAATTTGGCTGAGTACTGAAACGAATCCAACTGAATCTGAATTAGCCATTCAAATTTTTTTACTGCCATTCTTCAATTTATTTCAAATTTATGAAGCAATTTGAAATTCTAAAAATACTTGAACGGTTTCTATAGACCTTTAGGGTTTGTTTAGTTTTCGCGGTACATGTTGAGTAAAATGGACGCGACTTCCGACAGTGAGGGCACAAATTTTGTTGGCTTTTTTCCTAGTTTATTTTTTATTATCAATTTTTGGTCAAACTTAACTTTACACACTGAGAATACAATTAAACTCCATTGAAACGTTCTATTTTTTTTTTTTAATTTACAGTTTTCAAATTTTCGAAAACGAAAAGATCGCGTAAAATAAATGCTGTGCAATTTTGATCATAATTACTATTAAAAAAAATAATAACTCTGTCGAAGAGACTTTCAAAATTTGCCAGACAGGTTTTTTTAAAAAACGGTCATGAAGAGTTTTAATAAGTTTGGATAAAATTGTCGGCTGTATCTAGAACAGAGACTAACCAAAACGTAAATTAACATTCTTAAATGTTGCTCGGCAAAACAATCTGTAACAATGAGTAATAAAAACATTTTTTCGCTAGACATTTAAAGGTGATTGCGGTTCATGTGTCAGACCTCTTTTGGTCTAAGGATCAGTCTCATTCATCAGATAATAGTATGTTACACTACAGAGAAATCCGTGGCGAAGCTTAATTTTATTTCACATCACGTATTTGTTTAAGTGGAAAGTTCTGGAAAGGTTATTCATAAACTATGCAATGCATTGGGAAGTAATATTTTACATAATTTTGTGAAATTATGTAAAATAATAATTTCACATGGGCATGAAAAGCAAACGAAGATGAGCAAAAACAAACGCACGATTTTGGAGAGTCACGTTCTTGCATCTCCGACTTAAATTTTAAAGAACTGGAACATTTTCAACAAAGGATTATTTTCCTAAAGACAAAATTGTCACCATGAGTGCCAAAGGCTTCAAGGGAAAAATTATTCTATCCATTCTTGGACGGATATCGCAAAACAACAGTACACATGACGACCCGTCACTGGCAACAACACGAGGAAAATGTTGCAATGCATGAAATTGGAGACGTAACTATTGCAGGATTTAAAAAGTGTCAAGGCAGCTTTCCAGTGTGGAAGAATATCCTAACAGGTTATGAAGAATATTACATTATAATTCTATTTCGTAGCAACCTGGTGATATTCTATTTAAAAATGATTTTCAGAAACACCTGTCGATCGTAATTAGAAGATCGATATGTGCAATTTCTAGCTGTATTCAGCAGAAATTTGATCAGAAATGACTTGAATTGGTCGATAAATTGTAGTTTGAGCAAACTGAAGTTTAAACTTTTAGATGAAATTAAATTTTTAAGGTTTTGCAGAGGTGGAGAGGAAGTTTTAAAATTGATCTGGATACTTTCAACCATCTTCCTCAATTCTACGTGACCTGATATACCCCACGATCAGTATAACCACCAACTTGTAGATGACAGAAATTTGTGCCCACTCATAAAAATGTTTACTTTAAAACCGGTTGCGTCAAAACGTTTGGGAAGTGCTACACTTATCGGTAAAGAATCCCCTCAATATAGCTATACAATAAATGAAAATATTTGGGTGCGGTACGGAATCATTTTAAGAGTGGTAATCATTGTTACCATGACTTTAGGGTAAAGACTCGTAACATCTTGTCTTCTGGATGTGTTCTTAATCGCAATGAAGTGGGCATAGATAATGGTTTACTTTTTGGTTGTCAAAGAAACCATTTCGCGGCCGTCGCGACGGATCACGCAAATACACAATGAACCAGCTGGCAATCTAGATACCTTCCGAACTTTATAGAATATGACGAGATAACAGTTCGATTTTAATTTGGCAGAGTTCCGCAATCTTACACCAAATAAACTGTCGGTTCGTTGTACTAGATACTTGTGCAACGCGCGTGTAACAGTTCGCTACGTTCAATCGCTGCAGTATCGATGTCACCCTATGGAGAGAACTCTTACAAAGTTGACGCGAGAAATTTACGCTAACATCAACCTGCAATAGTTAGCATAACTTTTGTTAGCTCCAAGCCGTAAGGCTCAACGCCCTCTCGACTCGATCACACATCGCGATTGACTCAAACAAGGCTGTTCTGAATTATTAAACACCGACCGAGTCTAAACCAAAAGTACCCCTCGGGTCGCAAAAAACCACAGTCGCCCAATGTTTTGATACCTGCAACTCGCCCGCAAGCAAACTGTTTTGAGGCAAAAGAAGGAACGCGAGCTAACGCTAAAAAACGGTTCGTGTGAGGACGTCAAAGAAAGCGCTGTAACGCAGCTACGCGATTTGATATTTTCATTAGCGCACAATTAGAGCTCCAAAGGGAAAAAAGGACCGACCTGTAATTAAGATTGCATAAATAATAAATGAAACCCGCTCTCTATAGTTTGAACTGTGGAAATGCAGATGTTTTCTTGGCGCAGTGATCAGAGTTTTGTTCTTAAGCTGAACGGAAAACGATTTATTCCCTAAACTTAAATCAACGGTTGAATTAATAAAGTAAATTAATATCCTTTGAGGTGTCTGCTCCACTCCCTTCATATTTTTCATCAGTTTTGCTTATGATATCAGCATTAGGTGGTAAATTAGCTCTCTAGGGTGGTAAACACGCAAATGTATAGCTTGTCAGTGATGAAACTGATAAATTTATCTCTGATGTTCAGGTTTGTGTCGGCATAGACAGAATTTCCCTTCGTTTTCTCTTCAATAGCAGAAGGTTACTTTTCTACAAGCCTTACGAATCACAACATTCATGCGAAATCATTAAATGGTTGTTCCCTCTGTAAACAGTTACTGAGAGGTTGAGATTTGCTCCGGAGAACACTGATCGCAGTTAGTTCAGAGAGAAATCACCTCTTGAATCCTTCCCAATAATTTTGCTGTTCCAATTGAAATTGCCAATCAGATAGAAGGAAGAACAAAAGAAAAGAGCTAAGCACGTACTAATCCGCATTTGCAGGTTAACTGGGTTCATAACGTACTTATAAATTTTCGCAAACTGCTCTGCACGCTCGAACGAGCAAATACTGTACAAATATATAGCGACCAGCGCGTACACGGATTTCCTAAAATTCGACGTTCAGACCCGCCAGTTGTATTTAAAAAGGTCAAAGATGCACTAAAACGGTGGAGAAATTCTGGTGAACTTTGTTCTCTTACCATCTTTGTTCATCTTTACGTCAAAGCACTTCTTCAACCTACAGGCTTGACATTGATTGCGCCTCGTCACATCAACCGTGCAGTTGCCTCTTTCCTTGCACTGGTACGTCAAATTGCGGCGAATGCTTCGCTTGAAGAATCCACGACAACCGTCGCATGTGAACACACCGTAATGTTTCCCGGAAGATCTGTCTCCGCAGACTCTGCACAGAATAATAGGTTTGCGATCTACAGCTAGAGAAGCGAATAGGGCTGGTTAGTGCATAAACAAGGCAGGAATTGAAAGGTTTCGTTCAAAAACCTAGCAACCAATCATCGATGAACATCAGGTTTTGTTTTCTTTCTGGAAGAATGGCTCTGCAAATTGTCGATAAGTATTTTTAGGAAACCTCGAGCTGCTAATGGCTCAAGAAGTTTGTTCGATCAGCTTGTGGCCAAGTCAAATCAGTGCGAAGCAACCTCGAGTCGTAATCGTGAACTAATCGAAAAGAATTTCCTCTAAAAAGTCAGAGAGCTCCGCAACTTATGGCGGCAGTTAATGGAGATAAAAGCGCTTCGGAGAAGCTTTGTTTTGCGCAAATTTGAGCCGTGTTTTTAAAAGACACCCTCCTCAAAGTTTTCATTGATGTCTCGAGCAGACCAGAATCAAAACAAGTCGGTGATGCCAGAAACACGCCTTAAAAATTAAGAACGCTTGGAAGAAAAATTCTTCAGCGTTTTGCCATACATTTCTCCACACACTGATCGTTCATTTTTTACCGTTAGAAAGAAATTAGCTTAATTTGATTATCTTTCTCCAGGTGTAATGCAACAAAGAAAGTTTATATTGTGAAGAGGTTGTTCTGGCCTTTCGTTTCACGTGCTAAACGTCGGCGTGAAAAGGCGATTTAAAAAGTCATTGAAAACATAGTTTCTCGTACGAACCTTGCATGGTGTGCTCTGTTTCCAACGGCAGCTGAAGGGGCGAACGTTCCATGAACGTTTCTGGTCGAGTTTAAGGGACAACACCTCGCTGTTTCAATCGGCTAGGGAGGCAGCTGAGGTGTTTAAGCGATTTCCCCAGGTAAACGAGCAAGTTGAGTTAAATTTATCCACGGCAATGAAAATGAACAGGTGCGCGTGTGTAGCTGAGCGCTGATTGGTCACCGTGTTAGCATTGCGACATTTCGTCGCTTGCCATTGGCTGATATCAGGAGGGAAAAAGAACCTCGCTTGTTTCCAGGAGGGAAGTCACAATCGCCGCGTGTGAAATCGTCATGAAAGCTGACTAAGTGCGTCCCTGATTATGCATGCTAATACGGTCACTTAGGCTTTAGTCCGTAAATTGAATGCAACAACGTATGGCAGAGTAAAGATATGATAACCCAGAATGAACGATCCCACATTGATTTCGTTCCCTAGCCAAGAGTCTTGTGTGCGAGAAGGCGCATCAAGGGTTAGAAACCACAAAGCCAAAAGAGCTAGGAGTCTATTCATCGCCACAGATTGTTAATGACTGAGCAAAACACTTCGAAGGTCAATTCTTTAACTGAGCGCTTTGTTTGCATGGCTGACAAAAGGCGAAAGTAAAGGAACGAAAGAGCCTTCTTAATCACAAAAGAGATGAAGACAATTTAAAACCAGTGGAATTTCCATTATAATTCTTTTAAAGGCACGTGCTGCGAGCACAAAGCCCGAATAACTTCCACCTGCAAGAAAGCCCATCGCGCATGCTCAACAACATGCTATTGCTATCGATTGCGCGAACAAAGTTGTGAAATATTTATGACCACATTTAGCTGAAATAGAGCTCAATCTACGAATTTATTAAAATGACCAGAATCAAACAAAATTAAACTCCACTCAGTTTCAGGTCTCGATGCGGTTTTCAGATAGGAGACGTTATGAAGCAAAATCCTCAGTTTGTCCAAAGCTGTTGAGCTTTCTTTTGCCGCGAAGAGCCCAGATAATTTATGTTAAAATAGCTCCCCTCGTGTAAACAGCCTAAGTGTGGTCATTTCCCCTAGCGAGGTTGTCAAAGCAACTTTGACAGAAATTTTGACCGAATTAATATCGCTCCAGAACGTGCAGATGTGTTGTGGATTGTTTACAGCCAAAAGCGGCGTTTCACAATGAGAAGTTATCTTTCCCTGAAAGAAACCCTAGCGGTCAACATGGCCTTTTAACTTTCTCTGCCATTAAAAGGCTACAGATCGATATTGATGTTATGATGGTGTCAAGTTGCCTGAAAAGGGCTCTTGATGTTTCAACGTCGCTCATTAGAAATCTCTGGCAACCGGCCGTCTTGAATCATATCAGATCGGAACAAGCCATTAATGATTTAAAATCAAACAGTAGATTTCCCTCCAAGTTGGCAATAAAATATCAAATTAAAAAAAAAATCTTTCCTTTTATAGTTTTTCGACGTTTTGTGAAAGCGATCGACGTTTTAAAGAGCGAAACCGATCCTATAGGAAAGTCGGAAGCCTGATTTTTTTTTTTTTTTTTTTTTTCCCATTAAGACTTGTTTACTAAAGAAAATCACAAGTGCTTTTGTGAAGGGGACATGTGTGAACTAAGAGCTTTCACACGCTGGGTCTGCAACTTAGTAAAACAAAACTTCCCACTTCATATTTGATTCCGAGATCAGTTTGGCAAAAATGAGACCTTATTTTAGCAGATTCATATACATAATTTAATTGCTTTTCAGTTTTCCTTGGGTTACGAGTGATGTTTTTGCAAAGTTTGCACGGGCAACTTCTCTGTAATAAACGCCGTGGATTTCAAATTCTTTGCCCCAGCAACGCGTTTCAAATCGCTTGAAATCTTAGCCCATATTTTCAAATAGTTTTGACCTTTCAAGGTGTGTTGTAAAAAGGCTACATTTATGTTATCGCTGGGTCATCATCAATGACGACCCACAAAACGATCAGGGTGCAGTGTCTGAATGTAGTGTGCAATAAATCAATATGCGGCGGGGTGAAAAACCAAAACAACTTTGTTTCTTTTCATTTCCGTGAGCTACTAAGAAAATATTACAACAACATCACTGCCTTTACTTACGAAACAACATACAAAAGCTCAGCTCCCGGTACCTGATTGCGTTAGAATCAATTCATTTTTGCCTTTAAAAAAATGCGTTCTGGATTTTTTTTTTTTTAACAGTTAACTGATAAATGATTGCAATGGATTTCCTCTGAACTTTTGTTTACTCAAGTTGTGAAAGCGTTCGTAAAAGAAGCTTACGTTGAACGAAAATAAAACTTGTGGCTGTATCTTCGCCAGCCGGAGCAGTTAAAGTTGCACGCACGAGTGAAGCTGTGATTAGCCCGGTTTAGACGGGGGGGAAGTTGCACCCATTTTATTATGATACCAGTTAGTAAAGGTCGACCATTATTATAATTTAACAACGTGCGCTTTGTTGTTTGAAGGAATCGTGTTATATCATTGAGGCCTATTCAACTTCAGTTTTAAACAAAAGAAGCTATTTTAAAAGCATTCCGCCTACTGGAGCACAAACAAAGCACTAAAGAGTGTAAACAAGATAGATGAATTTTTCTTGGTGCCTTCTACAAAATGAAAGTTTGGTTACAACTATAACGTGGTTTTTAAACCTCTTTCACAGTTTCCGCACGTTAATCATGCATTTAATTGACTGCGCCAAATGAAAAACTCGTTATTAAAATACACCCAAATGCTAATGAAGTTATCAGGATTATAGCAAATCAATAACCGACCGACCCTTTAAAAAGGATTGCAAACACCAAAGTGACTGAATTGAATTTTGAAGTATGCAGTCACAAATGAAAGGTGTTCATTTGTCATGGTGGACTTGAACTTTACATTCGCACATGTAAACATCTTACTTTTAGGTTTTGGGTATGTCTCTTGAAATTTAATATTGAACAGTTGAAGGCAGACCATTGAATGAGTGCAAATATTACAGCAAGCCATTTTGTTGTTATCCACGTGGAATTGAGCATAAATTTAAAACAAAAATTTGAAATGCATGGAGGAAAATACTTGAGGTTTACAAATGTGTGTTTCAGAACCCGATGTAACAAACAAAATTACCCGCGTTCATTCACACAGATTTGTAGGAAATCTGGCGTTCTGTTCTTTTGTAGTAAAACTGGTTTCCTGGGGAACCTACAGACAGTAAGGCCATTGTCATTGTTATTGCGGTCATGCCATTGAACCAGTTTCCAAGGTTAAGTTTAGGCCGGTTATTTTCGTTTTGTGAATAAAGTTATTATGTCTGACTTGAGAAGAACACAAGAAGAGAAGAGGTTTGTTTCAGACACAGAGTGAACTTTTTAATCTTTGTTAACTGTTTTTTCAGTTTTTACTGGCCAAGTAGCAAAAACAACGTGGAGAGGTAACTTAACACCACTTGAACAGCCAAACATTCGCCCTGTTGTTCAAGTTATCGCTGCTAGAAGCACATGAGAGCTAACCTTAATGAAATTATATTGAATTGCTCTGTGTTTCCTAATATCTCAAAACACTCCAAACAGTGTTTCGTCACCGCACTTCCAAACACGGAGAAGATAGTTGGAAATACTCCATAGAAGCCTCTTCGTAATTTAAGCTCTGTAACTTGTGTGCGCCGCCAAAGAGCAGGAATACGAATCGATTTGGTCTGAGATAAGACTGAGATAGATTACAGATTTCGATCAACTTGGCCTGAAATAGGCATCCTGTCAGCTCTGGCCTGGTTTGGGTATGCCCTTAAGAGGAAACTAAATTTCTCTCACTAGAATAGAGAAATTTAAAGCCCTTTTCACCTATTTACACCAATAAAAGCCATTCCGAATCCGGGAGGGGTGTACTCCCTTATATGGGCTAAGGAGGTATGTGCGGCCCCAAAGGGTTGGTCGTCTAGCTTTTTTGGCCAGAAATAAGGCATTAGTTCCATTTTTATCTCAAATAGGGTATTGAATTTTTTCTGGTCAGGTCATAAATAGGGCAGCGAAAATCGCAGATTTTGGTCTTAAATAGGGTAAGGGTTATGGAAAGCGGGCCGCTCACCAACCCAATTTTTATGCGAGTACCCCCTCGGTTTCTGGTTAGTTGAGGTCGTGCTTTTGAAACGTATGTTAAATTTCAGAAGACTGGAATAGAGTATCGATTTCTTTCTAGACAGGTCTGAAAGAGGAAATCGAAAATCTCGTATTTTTGTTTGAAATAGATTTATAGTTTCAATTACCCGAACGCGCTACATACACAACTTTCGTGGTAAGGTAAGGTAAAGCATTTATTTATACCTCCAGAGTACCCCCTCAGGAAAATACAACACAAAGCGGAGTTTTTCTTGAAGAACTTGCAAGTGCATAATAAAATTTTTAACAACTCACACATAGATGTGTATCTTCTCAACAGAAAATGAAGCTGAGAAGAAATTAAGACGCAGAAATAAAATCAATTCAAGTCTGATTTCACTAATTTATGTCTCCTTAATTGTCACAAAGTGAAACTCAACTGTGTTCTTATTGATAAGTAGCCATAGCTTACTAGGTTGGGAAGTAAAATACTAAGTTTAGGACGGGGCACGTTGCATGTAATCTTTGTTTACTAAGAGGCCTAAAGCAGAGTAAAAGAAGATGCTCTTTCATATGACGCTCTGTATAAATTGTTTATCTCTATATTATCACTATATTATTGTCTCAAAAAGATTCTCTTTTTCTGTCTTTGACTTTTGCGATTGTATCTCCTTGCTTGCCTAGTTCTAGGACGGCTTTCTCCCAAGCCTTCACGGTCAATTGATTTTGGTGACTTATCCGAGACGAACGGCCCGAAAACGATTGACCGAGGTGGAATTGGGGAGTACTTTCAGAAAAGCTGGGTGAGGGTGTGAGGCTCACTTTCCAGAACCCTTACCCTATATTTACGACCAAAACCTATTTATGCCCTAGCCAAAAATTTGATGCCCTCTTTATGACCGTTGCGGCTGGCACAGTTTCACTAAACATAAGTTATAAAGGGCTTTTGTTGACAGTCCTACTGGTAATGATGAAAAGGTAGCTTCTTCTAAGAAACGTACCCAATTCAAGACTAGAGTGCTTAAGCGTACCGTATTTAAGACCAAAATGGCTAAAATCGATGCCCTATTTATGATCAAAACGGATGAAAAACCCTACCCTTTGGGGCCGCACATACCTATATGGCCCATATAAGGGAATCCGCACGGAACGTGGAACATCGAGGCCAAGGAATTGGGCAAGCTCCTTGTTTGTTGTCGGTGTTTTCGGCTTCTTTCTTTGCTCCACCATTTGTAATGGCTGCTAAACTGCATCAACAGGTTTCCTACGAAAGCTTTTCTTTCATTAGGCCAACATTTTGTTAAAGCATTTTATGGACGTAAAAGCACTCAAAACACTTCCAGCAATTTAGTAAATAAAATCACTGTGAAACTATTATTTTCACTCACGTTACACGGAAGAACTGCCAAAAACTCGAACAAAAATCGCTCAAAAATGAACGCGCATCACGATCGAATTAGAAATTTAGTGTTGATTTTAAAAATCTCGCCATAGAAATGTGATTAAGCTATAAAATGAAACTGAAACTCATTAAAATTACGCCAAACAGTGCAGAGATGAACTTCGACTATAAGCCAAGCCTTGTTTTGAACATTCATTTTTCCGAGCAACCTTTTGCAGAGTACTCCGGCAATAAATTTTGCAATTCTTGGCCTCGGTTATTCTTGATGAAGAAAGCATGCAACAAATGTTGCTAATTCGCTCTAGGAAACGCCTCTCCGCGCTTTGCCGTTTAATGGCTCTAGTTGAAGAAATCCATTGCGACCTCCAGCTACAAAATAGTGGAATATTTTGAACCAGCCTTTTAGCTCCTAGCTAGAAGTTACGTCAGCAGAGAAATAAATGATTGACTGACTGACTGCCTGCCTGTCTGACTGACTGATTAACTGACTGACTGACTGACTGACTGACTGACTGACTGACTGACTGACTGACTGACTGACTACCTGACTACAAATTACGGGTATTTGGGAGACCCCAATAGCGTTTCCGTGACATTTATTTAGACTTAATGTATTAGTAAACTGTAAAGAATATCGCGAATGTCGTAAATAAGTTTCCAAAAATCCAGAGAATGCTGAGAAATTTGGGACGACCTTCCAGATACATGACATTGTACATGGTACTGCCGAGTAAAATAACGTTTATTTGAATATTGTCATCCCCAGCGCCTGCAGACAATGTCCTGTGAAACTGTCATGTGACAATGGGAGACCAATCATTGCATCGACCTTGCCAACAGTCAAGATTTTAAAAACCGGTTAGTTTGATCAACACGTGACAATCATATTTAACAGAGGACCATTAGAACGAAATGCTAAAAATACAAACATGAGAACCCTCGAAGGCCTCATTACTTTATACTAAACATGGCCGCAATTTCAACAACTCAGACTCATTCGGAAAATTTGGTTTTCGCTACAAGAGAATAACAGACTAGATGCTTGGCTAAATGAACAGAGAATCACACAAGTGACTGATGAAATTTCTTTATGTTTCCGCCCCTTTTGAAACTCCTTAGTAAGTGAAAAACTACCGTGGATGTCTTTGGCATCACGAGAAACTCTTTTTAAATGGCAAACAGTCTTTTCAGTATCATTAAAAATTAAACAACGGTATCGAGAAAGCAAGTCAAACATCACGGAGAAATTCACGAGTCCTGTACTAGTGAAAAAATAACCATAATTCGAAGAAATTTCCGCCGAACTGCGTTCAAACTGAGGAAGTGACTTCCATAGGTCTTAGATATCGATAACCTCCAAGGTGATCGACAGTAATAGACACTAAAATTCTGGAGAGAAATGAAAACTGAGTAACGGTAGGTTCGCGCTTTAATACTTCACACGGCGGAAAATATGAGTGAAGTCAGCTAACACAAATAAAATCTCAGCCAAAGTTTCAGCGAAACAGCTTCGATTCTAGATCTCTTCGTGATAAACCGAGGAAATCTTTGAAACGCACGTGATGCCTGTAGGGACTACATCTGCAGCTTTTCGAGAGAGCGGAAAAGTAACAGTGCCGGGTACCAGTCAAAGTACTTATTTGAAAGCTTTGCCAACCTGCCTAATTGAACGCTGGAGGAGTTGATAGCTTGTCAACAAGTAGGCACCAGCAAGGCAGAAGTGACCAGTTGTATCATTAATTATTCACGGATACCAGCCTTACCCAGACCACAGATCAAAAGACATAAAGTTTCCTCGTGGAATTGATTTTGTTTTCACCGGTGGCCTGTAGAGGTCGATCAATTCATGTGCTTTTGACCTGTGGGACAATGAATTAATTTTAGAAACCACGAATTAATTAGCATCCGGGTTCGCTTTCTTTTAAGTTTCATATCAAACCGGTCGAATGGCTAAAGCCTGTGTCTGAATAGAAGTCCAGAAGTTTGCGCGCTTAATTTTCCCCGCGAGGGAGAAAGCATTGCATCCCAATCTCAGAAAATCATGTTGATGACGTAAGACTTCAGAGATCTTTGGAGCCTTTCTCACTGGTTGCGGCTCGGTAAAAAAAAATTTCACCCGCGAGGAACAAACCGTCACAAAATGTTATGCCAGAAACAAGATTTAACGGAAACGAAAAACCTTCCAGTACAGTAGTAACGCAAAGAGTAATAATTCTGTACTCAATAAACAGTAACACAAAAATGTAATGAAATCACGCTGTAACTGGCATGGCTTTTGAAGGCTCGATATAAGGTATCGACAAATTAGTAGCTCGGGGAACAGCTCAAAGTCGGTGTTTGAGCTTTTGTTGCACGCTAAAAAAGGGTTTTGACCTATATGTGTTCGTTTTTTTCCATCTTTTTTCTTGTAAAGTAATGTTATTTAGTCAATGTAAAATATGTAAATTGTACGTGAAACAATAAAAAGTGTAGACAGTAAATCTTTTTCAGGACTGACATATGAATAAGCCGTTACCATGATTTAATGATACAGAAAAAAATTCTAGCAAGTGATAAGCGCTTTTTTTGTTTACCAGTAGATCATAAAATTACTACGTTTCATAAATTAGCTAAAAATCTTAATCCAACAAACAATTACCGTAGCTAGCTACTTTCTACCCGGCTTCCAGGCCTCGCGTAAATTTGGGCTTTTGTGATTGGCCCCTCAGCTCGGTTCCAGGTCGGCTCCGTGTAAATTCTCACCGTGTCCGCCATCTTGGAAAGACCATGGGAACGAGGTTGCCGTGGACCAACTGGTTAACAGCCTTAGAGTTTGAAATTCAATGTCAAAGGAGCTACGTCGCGGTTTGTGCATCTTGAAAAGTTAAGCCTAAGTTCTTTATTTGTAATCCGTGTCCATCTTCTCGATCCTTATCCATTCTTCCGTGATCCTTTATGATATTATCTCTTTGGTGTTTTTCTATCTTAAACTACTATTTGCAGGTGTCCCTTAATTTAAAGCTAATTTTGTACAATTCAAAATGCCGTGACTGAGCTCCTTTGAAAAGCTACCAAAGCTGTTCCTTTTCAATGAGCCTCCGATTATTGCTTGATTCCTTCCCTTGAATATCATGGTGAACAAATGATGATGATGATGATGATGATGATGATGATGATGATGATAATAATCGTTTTTTTTTTTTTTGATCTCGGCAGATCCCAAAGAGGGAGGTTTGTTTTCCCATTACAGACCACGTGATATTCTCTAAAGAATTGTTTTTCTTTCTTTTTTTTAATCCATCCTAAAATTATTTATTCATATACACGCGAGTATCATCACATGGTCTGAAATAGGGCAACAAACCGCCCAAGATATAAAGGTCTATTCGACTTGATAATTAAGTTGATCCGAGTTGCATCATGGGATACTTGAATATTTCTCGTTTGGCAGATCCCAAGCTATCTAGAACGGACTACGAAGTCAGATGGTACTATTTACGGGGGTATATTTAAATTTCCAACCTTAAAAAAAAAGATAAAAAAAAATATCCTATTCAGACTGAAATGGAGAGGTATGAAGATTAAAACGTGACATGTCGCTATGTCAGTTTTTTGTTGTTGTTTTTTTGTTTTTTTTTAACCAGAAATACTCCAAAATTTACAATTTGGACAGCTTTTCTTTTCCATCTACTCAGAAATCTTTGCACTTGTTAAGGTTACGATCCAAGTCCTGTTATTTCTATGAAAATAATCTATGTAATGCCTTATTCACTTTTCACATTTTGAACGTTGCGTCACGCAACGCTCTTTTGCGTGATGTCAAGGAGATTTTTCTCAGAGTACACAGTCTACACAATGTGTTATGAAAATAGCAACATTTGGATTCATCGTGTTTACTTTTATCCCCAGCCAGCTTCGGCATGAATTTGATAATACCCACACTGCCTTTATTACTGTAGACAATCATTTCTCTTGCATCCAATCGTATTTCACTATTCAGGACATGTGTTAATAATGTTATTGTTCCCGACCGGCAGTGGTTAATATTCTGCCACGTCGTTCGACTCGTCGTGTAATAACTGTAGTCGTGCATATCAGCGTCCTAATGTCTAAGATGGAAAAAGACAACTGTGGTTATAACAAACACGAAACGTTTGGCAAGCTCATGGAATTCTACAAAGAGGTAGCTCCAGATTACGACCAGGTAAACAAAAGCATTTCTTATATTAAGCTTACATTTTCAATGCGGTACTTGTGTAAATGAGTCTACTATTAGAATCGCGGCGTCTTCGCGGTAAATAACCTACAAACGTAATCTTGACTTGTTTTACACGAATTGTACACTTTTAGAATTTCGTTGCCTCTTGTTTTTGCCTTGAATGGCGTTTCATGAACGTTGTTTTGTCCTTTTAATCGATTTCGCCATTATTCACCGGTTGGATGGATTCACGATGACATTAACTAGTGTTAATTTGCATTGCAGTGAACAATATTTATGACATATTCGCCTGATTTTCTCTCATTGTTTGATTTAATGAACGCAATCCCATCGTAAACAAGAACATTTTTTTGTTATTTCATGATTTATGTTGTCAAAGTCAAGGAAGATGTATCGATTCCGGCATGTGTCGTTTCCAAAGAGAGGAAAGGGGAAGAAGAGCCTGCCTACATCGCTTAAAATTCTGAATTCTCAGTTCTTCTTGCCTCTTTCTTCCCCACTGAAAAGCCTGCTCGCAGGCTAGTATTATTATTACTACTATAACTGAAAAATCTCAAACCGTTGATAGACCTGTCATTGATAAAACCTGGATAAAATGATGGGTTTGACTTGGGTTTGCGGCCTGTGTCACGCAAGTTAACAATCTGTGGTTGTCACGCACAGTATATCACGGTTTGCACATCATAGTTTCGCATGACACAAGGCATCACATGAGTTGGTCGTTATAATACGTACATTTCTGTAATAGTTAGTCAAGAAAGAGGTCAATTTTCATATGGTATCAGAAATTCAAGGCCTCCCTGCTCATGGCAATCCCATGCCGACTTCGTACAGAGCGTGAGTTTGGTCGGCTGGTGGTCTCTCAGATTCCATTTTCGTCTGTACGAGATGTGGCAATGTATGTAAAGTATGTGTGTATGCTGGTCAGCAACGAATACACAACATTAATGTCCCAAAATGTTAGAATTCGTTCGGACCTTTTATTCAAAAAAGCTTATATCCTGTGGAAATTGTAGGAGTTTTAATGTTCCGGCTTTCTTTTGACAGGATGTAGAAGTCAACAGAGGGTACGTTGGACACGAGAATAGCGCAAAAATATTAGCAAACGCCCTAAAACAATTTAAGTTTTCTGAAGATTCAAGAATTCTTGATGTTGGTGCCGGAACAGGTCTGGTTGCAGAAGCATTGGTTAAGAGGAAGTTCACCAACATTGATGCTTTAGATGCGTCAGAAGATATTCTCAAAGAAGCGGAAAAGAAAGGAATTTACAAGAATTGTTACGTGGATGTACTGGGTCCCAATCGACGTTTACAGCTGGAAGACAACTGCTACGACGCAACCATTGCAGCTGGTGTTTTTACGTTAAACCACGTGAAAGCTGAAGGGGCCATGGACGAAATGGCGAGAGTTGTAAAGTCGGGTGGATTGGTTTGTTTCACGATTAGGGAAGATGTGATGTTTGAAGCAGAGTACGGGTACCAAGACAAAATGGACCAACTGTGCCGCGAGAAAGTCTGGAAGCTTGTATCACAGATCAGGGAACAGTACCATAGCAAGAGCGACTGCATGAAATGTTTTGTGTACATTTACCAAGTTTTGTAAGGCTTACTGGTTCTTTCTTTCGTTCTACGTACAAAGTTATAAGAGAGGGCAAAGTGGAATTTTGGTCAAATCAGGATCAACCCTAGCCAGGAAAAACTTTCAACGTTGATTTCATGAATAAAAACTTTTATTAAACAAACTTTATTATTCTATCTTCAGATTTACTTCTTCTTCTTCTTTTTTATTTAACTCCGATGTAGGGTAATATACTTTAGTAATAAATCCTTTTAATCAGCATCGGCATTTTTCTTACTGCTCCAGCTGAACATGGTAGATTTGGAAAATGTAGTTACCTTGGGGACAAAAATCTCAGAAGTGAAATGATCCAGTCCATCATTCCGGTAATCATATCCTGTTTGCATTCAATTTTACATTTAGGACTGACTGTACTCACTGCTCAGGGTTTTTTTTTTTTTTTTAATGCAGCTTCCGAGATTTTCATGTCGTTTACTTGCATGGACCCCATCGACTTAGGCAAAATGAGGGGGCACCCCGGGGACAGCTTGGAATCTTGCAAATGAAGGTTTTTCCTTGAGGTCACCTTGGCGAGACTCTAAAATCGCTACATTACTCATGACAGATCTCGGAATAGTTAGCCTGACTAATTTACGATTTTGATCGTCCCCGCAATCTTAACAGGCTTGATTCTTTTTATTTATTTAGTCCTCTTCTATCCTCTTCAATCCTGACACAGATACTTATTACATGCATGTAAGCTTTCATTCATGTATCTCGTCAACGGCACTGCTGTTGTTTTTTGTCCGCCATAATGCATGTCACTGCAAGTATCCAGTGGATATTTTAGTGGGGATCTCAGATATATAACAGTAGTTACGTTTACTTTATTTCTCATGGCGGAATTGTACCTTTGGGATACAAGCACTGCACTATTTTCCGGCGATGAAATTTGACCTTAATCAATTCAAAAGCTGTTAAGGTTTTCAGAGAAGAGAATATTATTCTTTTCTTTCTGATGATTTCGTTCCTCCTTTAAACACGAATTGAGTTTTACTAAAAGCGCGCTTACTAGACGATTCCTAACACTGTGGATCGACTTGTTCAGCCGGTTTAGAAGGTGAAGGACACTATCTACACCACCCTCTGTCAGTGGGGACGAAGTGTTTTTTTTTTTAACTCCAGTGATTTGCCCACAAGATCCAGACAGACCCTCTCAACTAAGTCCCACTTCAAGCAGTTTAAGCGGGATCATTTCAATCATTTGAGAGCTGAAAACCGTTTGTCTAAGCGGCGAAGAGTACAGCGTGATGTTTTCCCTACCTCCCTGATCTTTTTACTCGTTAATTTGATGTTGATTCCGTAATTTCTCTCTTAACTCAGAAACCAGCATCTTCTCTCTGTGCATTCTCTCGTTTGACTCTTCCGTGCTCATGTTGGAATATCTAAACGACTGTTGTCTCGATGGCGGCATTCTCTCTTTGGGAAAGGAAAACATGTCTGCGCTTAACAAATCTTGACTGAGACGAGTAGGAGAATGACACGGTGGGCTGTTTGGCGGACAGCGATGCGAATTGTTCAGATTGTTTACGGACTCTATTATCTTTACTTCCATTGCTCGTGGAATTCTCATATTATCGACAAACGATGGCGAGAACATAGCTCTGGAGTTCGTCTCTCCGTGGTGCAATTGCTCTATATATCCTCGTGGATAATGGTCCACTGGATGCCTTGGGTCGCGATGGTTACCGTAAGCCCTGAAAGAAAGCAGCGAACCCTTATTAGTATTGGAAAATTAAAATGCTCTTGTTGTCGTTGCCTTTGTCGTTGATTGTTGGGGTGGTGGCGGTGAGTTTGGTGATGATGGTAGTGGTGGCGTTGGAGGTGGTAGTTATGGTGGTGGTGGCGGTGGCGGCGGTGGAGGTGGTAATGATGGTGATGGTCGGTGATGATGATGGTAGTGATGTTGGAGATGTGGTGCAGTGATGGCAGAGGTGTTAGGGATGTGGTGCAGTGATGGTAGTGATACTGGGGATGTGGTGTCAGTAGCGATAGTGGTGGTGCGGTGGGAATGGTTGGTGGAGAGGTGAGGTTAAGGAGGGCTGGGAAAGGATATACTGCCCAGGTCGAAAAATCCTGTCTTGTCTCATACTAATTAATAGATCAGTGATGTTTCGATTTGTAAAATCCCTTTCAGTGAGCATCCTTCCAATCACACCGAACAAAAACAAAATTCAATATAAGCAGAAGTTCACTACCATTACAAGGGCACATTTAGAGATAAGCCTATGGGGTACCTCGAGATTCGATTCTTCTGTATTAAAAATCTGTTTAAGTAATAGCAAACCATAGTAATCCATTTGAAGATAACGATGTCACGACTCATCTCTGGTGTCTGGTCAAACCTGTCCGCCAGAGCAGATCCCTGTCCGCCAGAGGCGAAACTGAAAGTTGCTTTAATTCTCGGACCCATTGCACAAAAATGTTATGAGACCTATCATCCCTGCGATCATGTTTTAAAGACAGAGAAACAACTTAAATTCATACACCTGACGTAGGGCGAACTCTGGAAGGTGTGGCACAAGAACGTTCAAACTTTAAAGAGACTCAATTATGCGCCCATGGCGCTACGAGGACAGATGATAATGATGATGATGTTTTAAAGAACGCCTACTACATAATTTCCGTTAAATGTTCTTCAGTTCAGAGCTCAACAACTCGCTTCGGCCTGATTACCGTCTCCATAGCAACGTTTTATGCACCTTCTTTACGTCACATTAAAAACGTGATAGTTTTCGAAGAACTCTAGTGCAATCAGTCCCTGCGTTATTCAGCGAGCGTGGTTTGAGAACGAACGCCAGAAAATTCTGCTGCAGTTTCGAAGCGTTATCAATTTATAAAAAGATTCAGCTAGTGACCTGTTTTTTTCCAAATGGTAATTAAGGGAAAATACGATCTTACCTTTTATTTTTGCGGTTCCTTCTTTGGCAGCAAATGACATAGCTGTAGTAAATAGCTACTATTATCATAGTGACCACAAGGACTCCAGCCACACACCAGATGACGATCATCCAATACGGAATGTCTGTGTCTACAGAATAAAAATAACGAAAATCAAACATGATCATCAAGCAGTTCGGAAATAGTCAAAGAGAATACCATGCTGTTTGTGGATAAAAGTCACTTTGGCTTTCAGGGTGTATTACCGCTAACATTTGTTACGGTTTGGCTTGCACGCGTAAAGTTCTTAACAAAGTTGCGAGCATCAGTAACGCGAAGATCAAGGCAACCGTTAGCCGTGTTGAAACCACTCTATTGCAACGTATACGATCTGTTACTACCTAATTCCTTGATTTACCATCAACTTGAACTCTTGAAATGGAAACCTACAATCTTCCACCAAGCCATTTCATTAACATTGTTAAACTAGCAAAAGTTAAGCTGAGGATATTATAGCTAGCAAATAAGTAAATATGAAAATTCAACAGTTATCTACTATTCTTGTCTTTACAACTAGCTACAGTGCCTCGGTACGTTCAAATAATTCATCTCACACAGATCAAACGTTTTAATTTCAAAAGAGGTGATGGGTCGCTAATATTAGGGTAAAAGAAGGAAATTTAAAACACGTTAACATTATGCAGCCTACTTTAGTGTCTTTTAACTGCTGACACAACTAAATTGTCACCTTTTGCCTCCGTTGTTGGCGATATAGTTGTTTCATTGGCCATACCAACCTACAAGAGAAGATCAAGCACCTAATCAAACATCATAGTCAGCACAGACCGAGCGCAACGAAGGTCCGTACAAAAACGACCGGGGGCCAAGATTCCCCAGCACGACTCGACCAAGCTAGGTTAGTAGGTAATTTATTATATGGCACAAAACAGAACATGCATGACTTATAACCATTTCCATGGAAACGGTCCGTATGGCAAAATCTAGACCAAGAAAGAACCAATCATAGCGCTTGTAGTTACCTCACGACCACCTTACCATATAATAAAACCGCGTATTGGTGGTGTTTTCTGGGTTTTAGTCAGAGCAAAAAAGGAAGGTATGTCTGATTGACTGGTGAAACGTTGAACTGTGTATTCGGCTAACTATGAACTGGTTATCCAAAAATCGGTTGCGAACTAACATTGTAGGTCGGCAATGTGTACAGAAAGTCAGAACGGCTACTAAAAACGGATATTATTGGATGCGGTTCACTTAGACTTTTTATCGACTAAACAACAGGCCATAGTATGAACACGGTAGCATAATCAAACGCATGGTCGCAAAAAAATGTTATGTTGAAGTTTGTTTCTCCCGGGCTAAAGCAGGAGAAATTACTTCTATGTACATTCTGCTATGTACATTCATTTGATGATAACGGACTGAAATTATGAGCCAAAGGAGACAATTCAATAAAAGGAAAATTAATGCTAAATCCAGCCTGAAACATCCGGCAGGTTCCTTAAGAATATGCAAAACACATTTGCTAATGATTTCGTAAACATCGATAGCTTTTAAAGCTAGAGGCTAAACGCATATATTTGTAAATTTAACGTCGAATACGTTTTTGATTTCGAATATGAGAAAAACGAGGATCTGTGTAACACAATTTCGACGTTGGAAATTAATTAAAAAGGGACCAGTTCTTTCACGACATATTTAACTTACATTAGTTACTAAATGAATCGAAAATGAGCTGATTTAAGTTTGACGACGTGTTTTATTAGCGATGTAGTTATGTGAGGTCTTTTTTTATTGCTTTCTATATACACGGTAGAGTCGTTTGTTATTTAACGTGGTGATTTCCACACTGGTTATGATATGTTTAAATTGCACGCATACAAATGTTCTAAAATTAACGGGCAACTTACTTTGCTTAATTATTTTCTCCACGTCCTTTACATGACAGAGTCGCTATCATTGCAGGTAACAAATAATTCTCACGTGCATAGTAAAATAAGCTTTTCCATCAGTTATGTGCTTTGCAGTTTCGCAGAATAAAAATGTATGTGGCATTTGCGAATCATGCACAAGTATTGCTAGTAATATTATGACGCTGAACTTTCTTAATGAAGCGGTGGCAAGTTAAATTCGACTTACCTTTAATGCTTTAAATCCCAGTGGAGAAAATTACATAGTGATACGATGTCCTCGCTGCCTTTCTCGTCTTCTTCCAAAAACGAAGCGGGAAGTTCTCCTTCGGGAAGCTGAGCGGAATCGAACGTACACGATCTGTCGTAACATTCGCTAATGGACTTCCTTGTTTGTAAATTTTAGCAGCTGAATACAACACAAGCAAAAATATCCAAGAAAAACCAACGGTCGGTTCCCACGTTTCCTGGCTATATTCAACAAAACCTGTGTCGAATTATTCCTTACTGTCGAACTGGCTCCACGAAAAGCCCAATTGCAGTAAGATTTTTTTTTTCCGTCGCGCGAGTGTTCGGTTCAAATGCAGTTCATCTGAAATCATTTAAAAGCATATTATTCCTGTTGTCTTTAAACAGCCGCGCTCGCTGAATAACATTTGTCTAATACTGAGTTCGTGCCAAGACATTCGGGAGCGTGGTAATTGAATAAACTCTGAACAACGAAACAAATGACGGAATACTTTCTTTTGCCTGATGGAACGGTAGTAACCGTCACAGAAACGCGTGCCTACTTCTCAATACTTCAAGGTCCAATACACGATTCGAAAACGCCAAAAGCAATTGCTTTTTTTCATGAGACGAAATTATTTTCTGTAAACGCGAAAACTACTGTGCGGCGTTGTTCAAAAGCAAAAACAACTTAAAAAGCCGCAGGTGATTTTTCCAAATATGGAACACGACCACAGGTTCCAAATATGGCCGCTTCCGAACAAAGACACGAATTGTCTTTATGCTGGTCGGCCATCGTCCGAGTTTTCTACGTGCGTGCTATCAACTACGTTCCTTGAAGCATCATTACTTATTTTCTCGGTTTAATTCAAATAATTTGTCGTAAAATTGCGGCATTCCCATCACAAAGTTTAATTAAAATGCCACGTCTGTTGCGACAAACTTTGCATAGCTTTTCTGTCAACAATACGTTTTCCGCAGATAATTGTTTTGAAGTAGCATAATAACTTTAATTGAAGTATACAGGGTGTATTGACCATTAAAGTGTTTGACTTGTACCTGCAATAACGTCAATAATGAAGAAAAACGATCTCCATAAATTTGAAAACCTCCTATATAGCCAGCTACCAGGCTATTAGACGATATAGGATTTATTTAAACGTTTTTTCCTCACGCATATATATATATATTTTTTTTTTTTTTTTTGAGTTCATATTATTATGACTAAACATTGAGAGGAACAAATACGAATAAATTATTTCAGCGCTAGGTTATTACATAATACACTGATATTTTGACAGTTTTCAATATTTCATATTTATTCATGTTGAACTTTTTTAAATGAACTGCATGCATGTATAAGATCGATTTTCAGTGCCACATTAGGCCCCTTCCACATTACGCTCAAGAAATTTGAAAGCGGCATTTTCACTCCGGAAAACGCATCAAATGTTCTGCGTCCACACTACGCCGGAGAAATTTAAAAACACAACAATCACCGGATTGTGTTTGAGGAAAACTGGGGCAGGGAAATCGGATGATTATCGTGACGTCATCGTTTTCGACAAGCTTCGTTTTCAAAATGTTTTCCGTTCACACTAAAACGCAAAGCCTGAATTTTCAAATTCCTCAGGTTTGAAGGGAGTTTTCGAAAAGTTCCGTTTTCGTGACGGATTAGAGTGGACGGTAGGCCTAACCGAAGAAAAAAAGCTGCGTTTTCAAATTCTCCGGCGCAGTGTGGACGCTGCCTAAATGTTACCGAGCCCCCTTCAACTTTTGAAACATGAGAAGGAAACCCGATCAATATATATGAAGTAAGAGAAGAACGCTTTCATGGCGAAAGACGACAGAAAGATGAGGGATGAAAGATGTCGGTCTATCAGAACAAAACAAAAATAGCAGAACTCATCTATCATACAAATGTAAATACTGCAATCTGATTGGCTGAGCCAATGAACGTACACTACGAGCCATTAGTCAGTTGCTTACAGAATGGCAACGTTTTCTTGTTTTCCAAATTTTAGGAAGATTGAAATTAAGCGGAAATTCACTGGTACACAAGATTAGAATCTCAAAATTATTGAGACTCTACAGCAGCTGCCTCAAATGCAATTCATTTCGCCCGTGATTTCCATAGCTATAGCGGAAATCATCACAGTTAGAATTCTACTAAAAAATATATTATGAGTCGAGATTTCTATGAGGTGATAGCAGATGCAGCCTTCGGTCTCATCAACTCAGTTTATAGAAATTTCGAGCTCATAATGTGGTTAATTAGAATATTATAAACAGAAAGTATGCCCCCGAAAAAAAAACAACAACCGATTGAGTAACAGCTATCCACATCGACACAAAACAAGTGCAACGAAAGACATGAATGAGGTCCGTTGACCCCTGATGAAGAGATTTCGCTTGATATGCAAATAAACTCGATAATTATAAAGTCGGCCATTTTTACGCAGAGACCCCTACGAGCCTCACTCTGATGTTGATAGTTAACATTCCTCCCAAGCCTACATCATAAGGGAGGTCCTGTATATTACAGTAAGTACTAAATTGTGGATAGTGCACGCTTTAATTTGGTATGAAAGTGGGTATGATTTTAATAGGAAACGAGATCGTACCATAATGCTTATTTATCTAGGTGATGAGACGTGACATTTTTTCTTCAAAAGGACGTGTCGCCTGTTCGTGTTATTAGTGTTAATTCTCGTGCTACACCGCATTTTTGTTCTTATTCCTCAGATCATTTGAAATGCTCTAAATTGTTAGTTGACGAAATTTCGAAATGTTTAACTGCCTAAATAAGCCAGCTCACTGCAGTAAACGCAATCTAACAAAATGAAAACACTCAGACTTCCACTGAATTTTTAAGCAATACGGGTACGTTTAATCTGGAATATACAGCCATATGTCTTAACCGATTGATCCGGTGTTTACTACAAGCCTCGTGTATGGGCGCTTGAGTGTGCTGTTACCGTTCCCAAATTCTCAATTAGCCAATCATAAGCTGTGTATACTGTCGGGATATCCTGCGATATCGAGTCACTGACCTGGTATAGTCACGAGGTCATGGTCACCTGGCCGAATTTGGGTACGGTAAATACCTAATCGCACCTTTTTGGTACGCTTCGGCTGCATATCAGACTCATTTGGTCTCTCAATGGATGATTTGGATCGACTACGTCTCGCCAAAATACGAACCCTGGCTCGACCAAACTTGCCTGCTATGCTGCCAAAGCGTACCAAAAGAGTACGATTGGGTATATGGAAAAAAAAATACACTCCATTAAAAGTTAAGGCGTAAAAAAGAATAGTACGACAGGACTCAGAACAGCATCCTGCAGTTTAAAAGAATATAAATTTTCAA